CACCTAATATCTATAGGAGGGGTCCTGGGTTTAACGATTCCAGGATTTACAAAAACAACAAAATACCATTCAACAAGAACAACCAAATTATGCATCCATTTATGTGCAATACCACTCTACCATAGATACAAAGTTTAGATTACGATAGATTGTAACATGGCAGAAAATTGTAAAGGCCATCGAAACTATAATCGTCCGTTAAATAATACAGATTTGCTACGTGTAGAAGGAACTATGCAGTAAAACTATCGCAACAAGTTGGCACTGTATGTAGGTACAAATGCTCGGCAATCATATGTGACTCTAGAAAAAGCCAACCCACTAAGCCCCCGCACAATAGTGATGATGATGAGTGAGAAATGGCATAAATGATAAAACATAGATACTATATAAAAATAAGCTAAGATCGATGCAGCTGTCTAAAATTGTCAAAGATACTATCTGTACCACGTCCTACGGTTCTAAGTTTTAATGGCTCTTGCAAAAGAAGCATTTTATCCACTAATCACACCAACTCACATCTATATTGTTACTAAATCGATCATGTAATTTGACAGGAAGGTGTACTTGCCAGACACCATCTTCAATATAACTAGCTAAACAAATGTCCAATAATACAGCTCAGGTTAAACTATTGATATACTAGGATTAAAATATCTACTGTGTATGGCACAATCAAAATCAGCAGCTTGTCAGTAGTATATGTATAATAGATTTGGCCTGTCGGTGATATCATGGTCACATTAAAACGTTTTCCGCGAGGAACGGTAGTCCTAATAATTCTGCAGCCTCAATGTATAAACGTCAATCTTGCACAAACTCCTTAGAAATCGTAAGTGCTGGCCCCCCCCCCAAAACTGTGAAAATTTGCAGCTTTTCAGACATAATAGAAATAAGAGGTGTCGATCGTCACCTCAATTAAGGTCAGGAAAACAGAGGAGCCTGACCAAGACAGAACCCAATTGATCGGGTTCGGAGGTCACTTGATTATGAGCCTGAGGGCCCGTGGATATATACGTCCCAAGCTTCATTTATCTCGTTTCCCCGCTCATTTGACCGAGGTGGATCTTGGATGCTTTTTTATTTGTATCTGATAATGAGAATGTAAGTGTAATTCTAATACCTCGCCATAGAAAGACCCAAACAATTTTCGAAGAAAGCTAGAAATTTTTAAAAATATAATCGACCTTGTTACAAACTCATTTGGAAGAGACCGTTCCCCCCCTGAACTAAAAGTAAAATAAATATTTCAGAAATTCTAGAAGGTTATGGATTAGTCTATGAGATACAGGGTAGGCAAGTCCTGCAGACTAACAATATAATGGAGTAATTCAGTAATTCGTCGCAACTTTAGTTTTAGATAAAAAATTCCAAGATTTATTGAATTTTGCATGTTTAATGTTGCCAATATGTTCATTTTTCCCTTTATTAGTATCATTGACGCCCTGCACAAACTAATCTATGAGGCTAAGACCGAGTATGTTTGTCTAATTTCTTGCTTCCCAATTATCAAATTAGATGATGGCGGTGCTTTCTGAAATAATGATCCTAGTAGGTCGCAGTAAAAATGTCTTGGGTCGCAGTACAGACTGACATTAACCATAACACGGTTTTTCGCAAATTCCAACCTTATATATCATTTGGCTTGAAAATATGATCTTACTCGACATATAGAAAGGATGTTCTGCAAGCTGGAACCTCCTATATGTGTTTTATTTTACGTTTTTTTTATTACGTTTTTTATTTAACCTTTGTTTTATTTCGTTATTTTATTTACGTTTGATTTAATTATGTTGTATTTATTTTTAAGGCGTTGTTTTATTTACATTGTTTATTACGTTGTAGTTATTTACGTTTTTTTATTAACGTTTTTTTATTTACGTTTGTTCTATTTACGTTATTTTATTTGACGTTTATTATTTACGTTATTTATTTACGTTGTTTTATTTCACGTTGGTTTTATTTAGCCGTCCTGCTAAGCTAGGGATGAAATATCAAAATAGGCACACATTTTAATATAGATATACTTTTAATTAAAATGCCCATTCAAATTTAATACATAAAACAAAATACCAACTTGCTTGATTCTGCACTAGTTTGAACTTACACCCGAAATTGTAAACCGATGAATCGACTAAAAATATACTAAAATTTTCAGAAATATGTAAATATTATCCCTAATATAAATGATTAAACACTAATTTGTAATAAATGATATCTTTATACTAGTTAGTAACATAATAGGATACATTATTTAGATGATAATAAGAAAACATATTAATTGTTTCATTTTTATCAAGTTTGTAAAGTGAGTGTAAAACGTCATGACGATAACGAATCATCATTTTTCACGACCCTACTGAGGGTCCAACAGTCCAAAGCTGGTAACAATTTATAATTGATAATGTAAATTTTTTACCAGTCAGGTGGTGAATACCACACACAGCTCACCGCCATACACCGAAGCTTGCCATAACTCTCACCTTATAACAACACACACATCATCTATGGGTCTGACAGTCTCACATCCATACAAGCTATTTACTCCTCGATCTTAACGAGGAGTGGAACTACTAAGACTGTTAGACCTTCCTCATACACTCGGATCCACTAACACCTTAGAGTCAAATAGGATAGCTGCACATATCGGATTGTGGGGTAATGAAAAAGCAGATTGAGCTAGGGCCCAGATTGGTATAACCAGTGAATCCACTTTTGAACTGCCCCATTCCACAATCTAACATCAAACGCCTGAATCGACGACAAAGTCACTAGACTAAATAGGAAACCTGGTTAACTGATGGACCAACACACCAAACGACAACTCTGGTCACAAAAAACATATCAACATCATCAAAAATCCTAACACGAACACTCTGCAACAAACAGACAAAATTACAGAACTGCATGCACCTCACACAGGACATTTGTGGCTTAAACAAAACACCCCCTACCATCCGCAAATCAAGCACCAGCGCTGTCCGATTGTTAGGCGACGGAGAGGAAACTATCTCACTCTTTCTAGGACAGAGTCCGGCTATTGCCCAAATAAGAGGTCAATATTTCCTCCAGGAACTATACCTCTCCCCTTAATGACATATTCGACAACCCAACACAACTCCACTATTTCAACTTCGACAAACCACACAAAACGCTAAATTGTGTCCCAGAGGGGCTGGACAAGACTGGTGTAAACATAGCGACTACTTAACCATCGTCTTAGCTCACCTTTCCCTTCCAACGCCCACTCCACTGTAAGCGTTCATACACGACATATCTACAACACTTACTTACCGATCATCCTACATCCACTTACTAGAGGACTGTCATGCCCAAGAGGAAGGCAAAGCATCCACATGCTTCCTCTCGTGGGCCCACCCATCCCCAGCCTCTCCTATAAAAAAAGAAAGATAAACATCCCTCGATTTAATTTGTAACCTTCTAACGATGTCACAGCTGAAGATATTTGACAAACAAGAAAGATGGGTAAAAAGTGGCAAAAGAGCAAAAGTGGCCTAAATACAAGTGGAAAATTTGGGAAAAGTTAATCATCCTAATAAACGTCATAAATCCTTGAAACTTCTGTGACGGTGAAATCGATTTTTCCAGACGATCTGTAGCAGTAACTATAGTACTAATCTTTGCACACTGCACTGCCAATGGTCCATATCACGCAAAATATAGACCTTAAAAGGTAATCGTGACGTCACCTTTTCCCAGACAAGATGCACGAGTACTGAATAGACTGTGCCTGCAGTCACGTGAGGCCACGGATTTTTTTCCCGATCCATGACTCAAAGTGCCCGAAGGCACAAAAGAAGTCCAAGGACAAGGGTTAGCGATCGAGGTTTTTTTTTATAAGGTAGCTTTGCGTCCGTGCCTGCGACCGTGAAGTGCGACCGAACGTGCCTGCGAGCACTGTTATCGCCCACGTGACTACCTGCGCAAGTATATTTTGCGTGACAATCTGAATTATAAAATTGATTGGCGCGCTGGCGCTGAAACCAACCAAGGTACATTATTAAATTCATCAGTACGTATCCCCTAGTACTAGGCCTAATTAATAGCATATTAGTATTATTTGAGTTAGTATTACTATTTTGCACAGATCCGTGTCAGGTTGCATAAACACAAATATATGGTTACATAGAGGTATAACACGATTTTCAAATTCAATATAGAATTATATTAACTGGGCGGCGCTCGGCAGTCTGCAATGTCACTTCGCGCCATATTTGCATGTTAATATAAACAGTAAAGACTGGGCCGTCCCCAGGTTTTGTATGGAATATGATTAAATACGCCATCAGGGGCGGATCGGAAATTGAGCGCCATCCACAAAGAAAAGCGGCCGCAATTACTTGTTACTAGCGGTGCTTTTGAAAAGCCGTGCGCGACGTGCCTCAATGATTTGTCACGTATCGTTTTGGCACGCGCTATAACACAATATGTACCTATGGACATTACATCGACCGCAAACCATGACAACAGTCATGCCTCATGTGAACACAGTCATCAATGTCGGGCCCTTAAATCTGAGAATAAACTATGGGCGAAAAAAAATTAGGGGGGGGTTTACATTCTTACAATCTTTACATTTTGCTAGAACACCTCTCTTTAAATTCATGATATCATTAATCGTTGCCAGTAGTCATGAGTTTAAACATACAATTAACAGGAATTGGGGACCAGTCCGTACGTGACGTGGAATAGAGTGGGATCTTGAGTCGACACCTTTAGAAATAACACTAATAGTGAGCTGGGGAGCGGCGATAAGGTTGAGAGTGGACTCCACTCAGCCTGACGGAGGGATGTAGGATCACTCGGCTCACTTCCTCTCTACTGTACAATACAGCCTCGGCTGGTGTCTTTCCTCCATGGCTTTAATCTATTCTATTCTACGTTTAGTAGAAATAAATTATTACTCCTTATAACAAAACGTAATAGATTTTTTGCTTATCCAATTGTTTTATGTTTGCATATACTTCCAACCGCTACTATATAACAAATACTTTGAAGTATCGAATTATTACAAAGCAGTTGTTAGTTTTTTTTAAGAACTGACAATTTTCATGTTTGTCTTTTCGGTCCTTGATCTTTGTCGCAAGGGTGTTTAACATGGAAAAGATGGAGTAAGGAACCTAAAAAGAATGGAGGAACAATTGAAAAGATAAACTGCACTTCACATGAAGTTTAAAGGTAAATAGATATAGAGATAATAAGAATTAAGATAACTATTGAATCCGCGCTAGTGGGGACCTTTTAGTTCATTTACCAAACCAGACATCTTGTCCGTTATCCAGGATATTTACACTATATCTCCAAAATGCTCTTCAACTAACAAAAACTGTTCTAGGAACAAAACAGCAACAAACTTCTAACAAACAGAATCTCCAGATTTCAACAGAAAATTATAAAGACACAGCTCAAAGAGGTACAGCAGAAGTACACCCTCCAATACTACCCGGATTATTGACTTCAGATGGTGGCAACACTACCCAAAGAAAAAGAAGACACATGGAAGAAACGAAGCTCGCAGAAAAACCACATACTCACAGTGGAGAAAAGACTGGGAGATTCTGAAGAACCCCATTACAAAAGGAGGATGGAAAAGGAAATGACCAGGTGTCCTTAAAGTCGAACCCCATGAAAGAACTATACAGTGTCCGGCAATACAGCAACTTCAAGTTTGTTGCCCAAGATACAACTTCAGAAAGCTAGACAGTATATATATCACAAGATAAATACAAAGTATCATCAAAAATCTGAACAGGAAAGAATTGGACCCCAAAATGTCCAAATCGAATATTCCCTCTGACATCACAAACAAGAGAGACATTGCTAGAGAAACATTTGGAAAAGAATGAAATACTGAAGTCCTCTTCTGGAAAAGACGATGCAGTAAAAGTGGTTTACTCTCGATGAGATATGAGAAATCGCTGTCCTCCTGTGTTCACTGCAAGCAATGCTGAGGGGTAAATCAGACCAAACAGAGACTATATACACATTGACCACAGGAACACCATGTCACAGACCGAAATCATGTCATTCAATGTTATCATTGCCAGGAATATGTCACATGGCCAATTCCATGTAACTGTAAAGCAACAAAGATAAAGCCCAACATGTTTCTTCTGTGCAGAAGCCACCATCGAAAGATTGGTAATAACACGATGAAAGTAGTAGATAGTAAAACTTTCAAGTACGAAATAACTCTTTAAAAGAGCATCCTAGGCACCATAATAGATACACAACGCATAAAAAATAAAACAAAAACATCAACCATCTTCCTAACTTCTTCCACCCTCCCTCACTAAAGCTAAAAATTCTAAGGTCTTTTCGAAATCAGTCAAATTCTTAAGTCAATATCAAAGATTCTACTAGTCCAAGTCTTTTCTAATAACTCCTAATAAGTTTAAACATGGACAACCCCGTCTCCCTATCCATAAAAAATCAGAATTTATAGCAAATAACTAGAGGTGTATGCTGGTGAGTCTTCCTGTCCTTTAAGATATGTCCTAACATTCTCCATCGAACTACAAAAAATTTTTAAAACGAATAAAATTAAAACCCAAAGCGGATTAAAAATTTTTTTTATTTCCCCAATTTTTTTTTTTCGGAAAAATTTTCTTTCCCCCCTTTCCCCGGAAAAAATTTTCCCCGGTTTTAAACCATGTTAAAAACCCTTCGAGTGAAAAATTTCCCAAAAGGGTGGGCCCCCTGGTAAAATTGGAAAAGGCATAAAACCCCCCCCCAAACCCGACCAAACCGTGAAAAGGGTACTTTATCAACCGAAAACCTATAAAAAACTAAAATTTTTTAGAAGGCCCTTTTAAAAACCCCGAAAAAAAAACAAAAAAACAACCGTCAAAAATAAAAAAAAAAATGGGAATTTCCCCAGATACAAAATTAATTCCCCCCCTTCCCCAAAAAACGGAGTACCAACCCCCCCCCCCCAAAAGGGCCCGAAAAATTTAAAATGATTTAAAAACTTTTCAACTTCACTGAAAAGTGACGTAATTGAAAACCCTAAAAACCTGTTACTTTCAAGAAAACCCCTAACCCCGGGGAAAATCTAATTTTTCTCCAAAAACCCTTAAAAAGGGGCTGAATATTTGGGGGGAAAAAACCCTGTTAAAAATTGTTTTTAAAAAAATTTTGTAATTCAAACCATTTTGTCTTTTTAAATTTAATCTTGGGGTCAAATTTTCCTTTTTTGGTTAAAATTTTTTTGGGAAAAATTTTTGGGAAAATTTAAAAATTGAAAAAAAAAATTTAGAAAAAAAAACCTTTTTGGAAAAATTTTTTTTTTATTTTTTTTAAATTTTTTGGACGCCCCTCTAGCCCACTAATGCCCCCCCAAAAGGGAAGAAAATTATAAATAGTTTTATAAGATTATCAAATTGGCAAGCAGAGACGATAGTAGAGATATGAGATGCTTTCGAATCTTTAGGGAATTGATAGTCCTTGTTAAGGTCTACACATTTCGTCAAAGGAAATAACGTGGATAAAAATGCCCTATAAATTTAGCTAAAACACGTAATACCTGTCAGATAAAAGGAGGCATGTGTTGAGGTGAGTTTGAAGGTATCCTGATCTGGGGGCTGAACAACACACGTGTAGACCTCAGAGAGCACAGAAGCAACTCCGGTAATAGTCAGGGTACTGGTAAATACCTTGAAACCTGGACATTGTCAGGTAAATGTTTACTGCCATTGCTCGAGGAGAACCGAGAAATACTCAAACATACCCAAAAATATAAATCATATATAAACCATACATTCCGCATATAAATGAAGCATGGCAAGATGAAATATTACCAGAAGTAACGCCAGGAGCTGAGGAGAGCTGAACTTCAGTATTCTCCATGTCTCCAGAACCGGAGGTCCAGGTGATGTCAACAGCTGGGAGCGTCGTCTCTACCGTTACACAGGACATTGTGGTCGTTTTATCGACTTCTGCTATGGTATCTGTCGGATTCGTAGCAATACCTGAAGACATGTGTTGTCAGGGATCCATAAATACATTGCAATTTCTATTCAGGACAGAATATAAAAGACTTTGCCATAGGATTTTATAAAATAAATACGTTATGTTTCATGATTCGACTGAATGACAATTTAATCTCATTAAACTATATAAAAAAATAAGTATAAAGAATAAGGAAAAGGAACGGGAATGAAGCCAATACCAGAAGTGAAACCCCACCAAAGAATAATTGATCCTTAGCTGTAGACCTGGTGAAATAAAGTAACTGAACTGTAAGTTTAAGAAAAGACGGAAGGAATAAAGGAGAGAGGAAATAATGTTATGTGAACATCATCAGCAGATGACTTGGCACACCTATATATATATACACTATATTTTGCTAGTTTATATGCACAAGAAACTATAAATATCTTACTGATGACATAAAGCTCCTGAGTGTCTTCCGAGTCCCCATTGCTGCATCTATACTCTGCAGAGTCCGCAGAGTCCGCGTTGATCACAGTAAGTGTGTCTGTTCGTGTGTACGCAGTGGGTACACCGGCAGTTACCGTGAAATCAACATCATCAGACACAATAGCTGTTGAAGATTCGCCCTTATACCAAGAAGTTGCAGTGCCGAGACTGCCATGAAATACACAAGATAAGATGACACTCTGACCGGAGGTAGAGTATTTGTTCGGTGCTGGAACTGCAGCTGAGAGGAGGTACTGAGTCACTTCCATCTCATGAGAACCAACACTACCGAATGTTACTTTGCACTTGTAAACACCGTTCATTTCAGTGGTTGCAGTCTCGGCTGTGAACTTCAGGAGCGAATGGTGGTTATCCGCTTTGTTTTCTATAGCATATTCCACGCTGTTATCAATAGGCTGAGAATTTGCAAACCATTCAACAGTAATAGCCCCGGCAGAAAGTACGGAGTAACTGCACGTCAAAGTGAACGCAGTCCCAGCATTCAACGAGAAGGATTCCTCGCTCGACGTTATTTCAACGGCTGAAATATAGATTGTTAATACGACGAAAATAATTTACACTTTGAAGTTGAGTTATCGTTATTCTTTACTCCCCCTCCCACTGTTTTTATTTGAATTAAAGAAGAAGAAAACAAGTTAAATACCATACCAAGAACGTTAACAGTCTGTGTAGACTCGACCTCAGCGCTGTCTGCGATATAAATCCCCTTGCAAGTGTAAGCAGTAGTCACAGTCAATGCTTTTGTCGTCAACGTCGTTTCCAAAGACTTTCCAACTGGTTCCCAAGCAACGACCGAAATATCGTAAACGGAATCATCGACCAACGCTGGTGATCCGGAACCAGCAGCATGCCAGCTGGTTGAGCCAACTTCATCCCCTTCGAACTTGCAGGTCAGAGTTACATCACTTCCAGTGATTATCTCTGTTGTTTTGTCATTAGAGTGTGCTCTGACAAAAATCTGAAAAGGAAATAGTGAAATACAGTCGTCAGCTTGGTCCTCAAAGTATACAGTAATCACGGTGAAGCAAAACCTTAAGAAAATGTAACTTGAATGCTATTCCCTTGTGATTCATTTTTGCGCATACAACGCCTTACTCCATGGAAAAATTTAACTTCCATTCTAATCCTGGTAAAATGGAGCTATACTAAGTGAGAGCTACATTTCACTCACTAGCTATACTAAGTAAGAGCTACATTTCACTCACTAGCTATACTAAGTAAGAGCTATATTTCAATCACTAGCTGTACTAAGTAAGAGCTACATTTCACTCACTAGCTATACTAAGTAAGAGCTACATTTCACTCACTAGCTATACTAAGTAAGAGCTACATTTCACTCACTAGATGTACTTAGTAAGAGCTACATTTCACTCACTAGCTATACTAAGTAAGAGCTACATTTCACTCACTAGATGTACTTAGTAAGAGCTACATTTCACTCACTAGCTATACTAAGTAAGAGCTACATTTCACTCACTAGCTATACTAAGTAAGAGCTATATTTCAATCACTAGCTGTACTAAGTAAGAGCTACATTTCACTCACTAACTATACTAAGTAAGAGCTACATTTCACTCACTAGTTATACTAAGTAAGAGCTACATTTCACTCACTAGCTATACTAAGTAAGAGCTACATTTCACTCACTAGCTATACTAAGTAAGAGCTACATTTCACTCACTAGCTATATTAAGTAAGAGCTACATTTCACTCACTAGCTACATTAAGTAAGAGCTACATTTCACTCACTAGCTATACTAAGTAAGAGCTACATTTCACTCACTAGCTACATTAAGTAAGAGCTACAGTAAGAGTCTCACCAGAAGGTTGGGACTAGTGACAGAGCCGTGTCCCGCATCACCGTATGTAGCTTTACAGTTGTACTCTCCGGAGACGGTGGGTTCAACGCTCGACAGAACAAAATCATGAGATGTTACCTCATACCCCTCAACTGAGTCAACATATGACTCGTCTACATGGGTCTCTGTCCCAACTTTAAACAGTTGCACAGTGACTGACTGGCTGGTGCCAGCACTGATCCTAGCCAGTGCTATACTTGTGAATGTGCAGGTCATTGTCAATGTAGATTTTGCAGCTAGTGTTACTGTAGCAGCTGTGAGTGTCGGTTGTTCTGAAAATTTGTAGAGTTTGTTTAAACGTATCTGTTTATAATATAGGATAATTTAAAGTTATGAATTACGTTCCGGTATAAGTTATGATAAAGTAAAATCAATGACCATCTTTTTTTTGCTGATTTTTATGGTTAATTAATAATTAGTGTAATGCTGAATAACAGTTTGTAAAACTCACCTAGTACGTTTAGGACCCCTAGCTGCACGACACTACTTTTACTACCGATAGGGTCAGTGTAATCCGCTTTGCAAGTATATGACTGGTATACAACGTTGTAGAGGTATGTCGCGGACGGGATGACTAACACTGACTCCACCAGTTGATCTGCATAATCACTATCTGTAACCTCAGCATCAGCTTTTGTAAGGTCTTTAGCTCCATCATTCCAAGTAATGGTGGTAGGTTGGTCTCCGTAAACTCTGCAAGTCAGGGACACTACCTCTCCGCTCATCACGTGCAGGGACGCTTCCTTCTCCATCCCCACGTAATAGTCCGACATGTCCGGGATATCCCGTACCAGTAGTGGGCTCTCAGCAGTGACGTCCCCGAACACTCCGTACGTGACTGTGCACTTGTAATCACCATTCAGCTCCCATCCTCCAACGGCAGGCACTGTGACTTGGAATGATTCAGTGCCTGCTGTAGTCTTATCTATGACTATGTTGGAATCTAACGGTTCCCCATTACGTGTCCAGGCTGTCTGGAAGGTTCCATCGTCAGCACCCAGCTCTTTAACAGTGTAGGTGCAGACGAATGTTACCGTGGCATCAGCCACGACGCTGTCCACTGGGTCTTTAGTAACGGCGACTACTAGTTGCACATCTGTAACTGTGAGAGTTTGGATTGAAGAAGTTTCCACTCCTCCGTCCGTGTACGCCGCTTTACAAGTAAACGCACCAGCATTATCAGCCGTCAAGGTGGCTATTGTTAGAGTGTCAGTCCGCATCTGGAGCTGATAGGTTCCAGGAGTAACAGTATACTGTCCCCCCGTCACGACTGCTCCGGAATCCTTTAACCAAGTTGTTGCTCCCAGAGCATCACCATAGAACGTGCAGGATATATCAATGTTCAACTCCAAAACTCCGAATATGCTAGCTGAAGGTGTCACGTGTCTAACGTAGCGAGTAACTTGATCCGAAGCGGACGTGCCAACATCACCGAAAGTAACCTTGCACTGAAAGAGGCCGTTGTTGGACTCATCTGCAGCTGCCACAGTGTACAGTGATTGGGAGTCGGAAGGAGCGGTGATCAGCCCACTGAGGGTTTCTGGGAATATGACGTCATTCTGGTACCACGAGACAGTGGGGCTGCCATCGGGGAACGCACTGAAGCTGCAGGTAAATGTGACGGAACTTCCATAAGCTACTTTTGTTTCTGTTTCTCCGGTCGCGACAAACTCAGTTATACCTAAAATATATATGACAATTGTAACTTGAAGATGTATACAATCCTCGATGATATAAGTTCTATTAGCACGAAAACCTGGTCCTTTTTTGTTTTGATCGAATGAAATCTAGAGGAATGAAATCAATAAAGTTATTAAATTAATTTTATTCTTCCTTGAAACATAGTCAAAGATATTTAATTGTTTGCCGCTTTTAATTATTGTTTTCGCAGGCAAATTTGAGTAGATAAATTATTAGTAATGGAAATAATAATTAATTCTCTCTTTCTCTTACCCAGGACTGTGAGGAGGATATCTTTAGAAGCATCTTGCGCTCCTGATGTGTACTGTGCAGAACACTTGTAGGTTCCTGAATTAGCAGCTTCAACTGTGTTAATCGTTAACGTATCCAGTCTTGAAGATGCTGTGGGAGATGATGTAGAGAAATCGTACTCATCATCATCAGTGAGCACAGTGTCACCAACTTTCCAAACAGTAGTCGACAGAGCGTCCCCGTGGAAGGTACATGTCATGACATACTCTGCTGCTCCATTGATGGCATAGTGACTAGATACAGTGACCTCGGTCAGCCTCACATTTTGAGTTACTTCCTTGTGGAGCTGCCCATAACTACCAAAAGTCACCGCACACCGGTACACACCGTTATCTGCCTTGCTGGCTGTAGTAACTGTTAGCACCGACTTCTTGTCTCCCTCCGCTGCCACTGTAATTCCTTCTCTTATCTCCGCACCATCTTTAGTCCACAGTACCTGTAGACCTGTACTTACTGCACTGTGGGTGCAGCTTAGTGTAAATGGCCCTTCGGCGTCCACTTTATCGTTAGTAGATGTGACACTGCTGATTGCTGCGGTAATTCGGAATGTTAATCAAACTTTCATCAGAGAATCAGGGAATCAGTAACTCCCAATACTGGATAATTTTATCTTCTTTCTAGTGAACAAACTAGTTAACCAATATATTAATATCATGTATTACTAATGTATTACTGTGTATTACTAACTATAAACAGTGAGGGTTTGCGTTTTCTCAGTTTGGGTGTAGGCGTTGTTACAGGTGTAATCTCCCTCGTCATCATGCGTCAACGCCAGAATAACCAACTTGTCCATACGCTCGTAATACTCTGAAACAGTGTCCTTGGATCCTGGAGTAAGGGTGTACTTCTCTCCATTCTCCAGGTTAACACCAGCCTTTGACCACGTGGTGGGACTGCTCATGAAGTCCTCATCACCCCGGAACGTACACGTGATAGTGACTGAGGCTGCTCCGTCCAGGAGGTGAGTTGCAGCGGCTCCGACTTCACTTTCACGGACCTTTTGCACAACCTTCTCACTCTCTATTGAGTCGTACTCACTTCCGTACATTACCTGATGGGAGATAAGGGTTTATAGTATTTAAATGTGAGGTGTTAGTCTAACTGTTTAAAGCCTACGAAAGCCTTTTGCTACGATTGAGAAGGCTGGGACTGATTAAGAAGGCCGTTTATTACCGTGCAGGTATATCCACCATTGTCAGATAGGCTGGCTGATGTTACAGGATAATTCGAGTCTGAATATCCTTCAATGATCTGTCCGTCCTTTTTCCTGAAAATATCTATAGAAATAAATGTGATACCACAATATCGTAATATCCATATTATCCATAATAGTGAATATGACAATACCATCGTGTTGTCATAGAGTACTACATTAACTTTTCGATCTTACTGGTTAAGAATAAAGCTGAAAGTAAGCAAAGCAGATACTCACCATTGCAGTGTTGCAGTGGCGCCTGGTGGTGCAGGACTATGGTTACAAGTTAAGGTAAATGGGTCCCCAGTCGTCACTATCTCGTTGTCGGATGTTGTTTTACCTAAATAACCATGTTGAGCCCAAAACACTGATAACAATAACAAAAAACATTTGTTCTTTTGAAAACTACAATCCAGCAAAAGAAAACATGTTTCTTGTTGCTGAAGTGAACCCCCTACCCTCCCCTGCGACACTGGAGTTTTTTCTTTTAAATTGAATGTTTATGGGCTAGGAACCGACCGGAAATCCGGCTGAATCCGGTTCCGGCCGGATATCCGGCTTCAAAATCCGGTTCCGGTTCCGGCTCCGGCTGAAAAAAATTTGCCGGATTTTTGCCGGATTTCAGTTTTTTTTTACCGAAAAAAAAATCAAAAAAATATTTTCGGCTAATAATGAACAGGGTAGCCTGAATCGTGGAAAAAAAAGCGGTTTTAAGAAAAACTTTAAAAAATTTTTGACTTAGAAGTTTTTCGGTCCGAGTCGTTCTCGAGACGTACCTCCTGTATCGAGAGCTCCCGCTTCCGAGCTCGTGTTGCAAAGGGGAGGCCTGCCTTCCAAGATCACATTACCGGGGGAAACCTCGAGTCCAGAATTGTGTATCGATGGGTAGGTGCGGACTTCGAAAAACCAAAAAAATATTTTCGGCTAATAATGAACAGGGTAGCCTGAATCGTGGAAAAAAGTGGTTTTCAGAAAAACTTCGAAAAATTTTAACTTAAAAGTTTTCGGTCCGAGTCGTTCTCGAGACGTACCTCCTGTATCGAGAGCTCCCGCTTCCGAGCTCGTGTTGCAAAGGGGAGGCCTGCCTTCCGTGATCACATTACCAGGGGAAACCTCGAGTCCAAAATTGTGTATCGAGGGGTAGGTGGGGACTTCGAAAAACCGAAAAAATATTTTCGGCTAATAATGACAGGGTAGCCTGAATCGTGGAAAAAAGTGGTTTTCAGAAAAACTTCGAAAAATTTTAACTTAAAAGTTTTCGGTCCGAGTCGTTCTCGAGACGTACCTCCTGTATCGAGAGCTCCCGCTTCCGAGCTCGTGTTGCAAAGGGGAGGCCTGCCTCCCGTGATCACATTACCAGGGGAAACCTCGAGTCCAAAATTGTGTATCGAGGGGTAGGTGGGGACTTCGAAAAACCGAAAAAAATATTTTCGGCTAATAATGAACAGGGTAGCCTGAATCGTGGAAAAAAAGTGGTTTTCAGAAAAACTTCGAAAAATTTTAACTGAAAAGTTTTCGGTCCGAGTCGTTCTCGAGACGTACCTCCTGTATCGAGAGCTCCCGCTTCCGAGCTCGTGCAAAGGGGAGGCCTGCCTTCCGTGATCACATTACCAGGGGAAACCTCGAGTCCAAAATTGTGTATCGAGGGGTAGGTGGGGACTTCGAAAAACCGAAAAAATATTTTCGGCTAATAATGAACAGGGTAGCCTGAATCGTGGAAAAAAGTGGTTTTCAGAAAAACTTCGAAAAATTTTAACTTAAAAGTTTTCGGTCCGAGTCGTTCTCGAGACGTACCTCCTGTATCGAGAGCTCCCGCTTCCGAGCTCGTGTTGCAAAGGGGAGGCCTGCCTTCCGTGATCACATTACCAGGGGAAACCTCGAGTCCAAAATTGTGTATCGAGGGGTAGGTGGGGACTTCGAAAAACCGAAAAAATATTTTCGGCTAATAATGAACAGGGTAGCCTGAATCGTGGAAAAAAGTGGTTTTCAGAAAAACTTCGAAACGTTTTAACTTAAAAGTTTTCGGTCCGAGTCGTTCTCGAGACGTACCTCCTGTATCGAGAGCTCCCGCTTCCGAGCTCGTGTTGCAAAGGGGAGGCCTGCCTTCCGAGATCGCATTACCGGGGGAAACCTTGAGTCCAGAATACAGAATAGTGTATCGAGGGGTAGGTGCGGACTTAGAAAAAACCGGAAAATATTTTGGGCCACCTCCCTGGGCTAGCCCCCGGCTATAATCGCAAAATTGGCAGTATTTAATCTTATGATTATGAAATACGAAATATGAAGGTCACGTGTTCAGGGTTTAATTAGCTCATTACTGCAATCATGTGACTCAGCTCTAGACGCCAGACGGTGATTAGTACTGTACTAGACAGTGCCTGCTTACGAACAACCTTATTAAGCACCTCTGGTTGTAAGTCACGTGACCCAATGATACTCAGACTTGCATGAAAAAAAGGGAATTCGCACAAACGCGCTCAATCAGGGCCGGGGTCTGGCAGCATATGCCAATTAGATATCATTTCTGATTATTACTCGTCTAGTGTCGTGACTCGTGTCTACTCGTGTTACATTGTGTCTGCTACGTACTGCTTGTTTAAGCAATGTCTAGTAGTAGATAGGAAGATTTGTAAAAAAACTATATCTGTTCGGACGTTGAAGCCGCCCTAAGTCGAGTCGAGTAGTAGTAAATCTAAAACATCGCCCGTCTGGTTGTTCTACTCAGAAGAAAATGGGATCCCTTATGCAAGCTGCAAGAAGTGCTCGATGAAGATTAGGCGTGGAAAGGAAGGAAATTTTCCGGCAACATCCGGCAAAATCCGGCTGCCTTTTATTTCACTCTGAAACCACCGGTTCCGGTCCGGCAAAATCCGGCTGAATCCGGTCCGGCAGCCAAAACCCCAATCCGGTCGGTTCCTATTATGGGCCTCAAGCTCACCGTTTGTAAGTACCGAAAGAGTCAGGACGGATTGAGATGGGCTAGAATCACTGACATAGGTTGTTTTGCAGGTGTAAGAATGTTTATAAGCTCACCGTTTGTAAGTACCGAAAGAGTCAGGACAGATTGAGATGGGCTAGAATCACTGACATAGGTTGTTTTGCAGGTGTAAGAATGTTTATAAGCTCACCGTTTGTAAGTACCGAAAGAGTCAGGACATATTGAGATGGGCTAGAATCACTGACATAGGTTGTTTTGCAGGGGGTCCGGACTCTAGGGCGTAAGACTCTAGGGCGTAAGACTCTAGGGTCTTAGGGTTAGGGTTAGGGTTAGGGTTAGGGTTAGGGTTAGGGTTTGGGTTTGGGTTAGGGTTAGGGTTAGGGTTAGGGTTAGGATAAGGGTTAGGGTTAGGGTTAGGGTGATGGTTAGGGTTAGGGCGCCGCCCTAAAGTCTCACGCCCTAGAGTCTTACGCCCTAGAGTCCCGGACCCTTTTGCAGGTGTAAGAATGTTTATAAGCTCACCGTTTGTAAATACCGAAAGAGTCAGGACAGATTGAGATGGGCTAGAATCACTGACATAGGTTGTTTTGCAGGTGTAAGCAGCTGCATCCTCTGCTGCAACTGTGAGGTATTTAAATGTTGTTGTAAGACTGTTTGTCTCTGAGGAGTAAGTGCCAGGGGTGACTTCTGTTTTACCCTCGACGTCTATTTCGGCTTCCGCTGAACCTGCTTTGTGCCAAGTAGCAGTATTCATTTCATCTCCATAGAAAACACAGGTTAAAGTGACTGAAGTTGTTCCTGCAGAAGCGTAGATTGTAGCGTCATCGATCTGTCCTCTTACCTTCACACTTTTGGTCTGTCTACCGGTTATTGTTTCGCCAGTGTAATAAACTTCACAAGAGTAAACCCCACTATCAGATCCAGCAACTGTGGCAATGGTGTACTCCAGCTCGCTTTGGTCAGCAGTAGGAACCTCCTCCTTCACCTCAACTCCTGATCGATACCAACTGACTTTAGTTGCTCCAGCTTCGAATTGGCAGGTGATCTTGAGCTCAGTTCCAGGGGTTTGCGTAATCGCAGTAGCATCTTTTATACCTGTCACATCTGCAAAGCAAACATTGATTTGTTAAATTGTTTATTTGTTTCAAATCAGAGAATTTGTACCCTGGGAAAAGCTAAAATATCGGTTAGATTCTACTATTGATCCTCTGTGTTTACTTACCTTGAACTTTCAACTCCACGCTATCCTCTAGAAGCTTAGGTTCAGACGTCGACCAGGTAGCTTTGCATTTGTAGCTTGCTTCATGATTAGGAACGGATGCAGCTGCAGTTTTTAATGTTGAAGTCTGTACATTGTCCGCAAATGTACCAGTATCGATGGTGAAATTAGTGTCATCAAGATCGGCGCCAGTCGAAGTGTACCATTTGAAAGTAGCAGCTTCATCACCATTCACAGTGCAGACTATTTCGATACTAGCTCCCACTCCAACGTGGAAAAGCTTTGCAGTTGTAGATAACTTCCTGACGTAGAAAGCTTTTCCTTCAGCTGGTTCGGGTTCCACGATCACTGTTTTACCATCTATTGTATAAGTTGCTTTACACTTATATTTGCCTGTGTCTGTGGTGGCTGTGCTTGAAATTATATATCTTTTTCTCTGGACGTCACCACAGTTGTCTCCCTCGGAAGTAGCTGCGATTTGATCAGACGTAAACGTTGTATCATCCTTGAACCATTCGATTGTTGGGGCACCAGAACCAGTATACTGTTCGAAGTTACACGTTATTGTAACTTTGCTTCCTTCTGCAGCTGCCTGACTACTCATAGTCATTACTACATCTGCAAACATAAAATATTGCATTAGTCGGTTAAGATCGATGCATTAAAAAGTTTTTGTTTCATTGATTTAACATTTTCTTGACTCTATTCACAATTAAAAAGTTATCTGTATAAGAAACTTACCGATAACTTACTTGACTCTATAACTTACCGATAACTTGGAGATTGAGTGGAGCATGTATAAGAAACTTACCGATAACTTGAAGATTGAGTGGAGCAGCAGGTGTCACTACAACAGCACCAGTTGTATATTCAGCAGAACAAGTGTATTCGCCGGAGTCAGATAATGCAGCTTTTGCAATGGTGTAATGTGAAACACTTAGTGCTCCTTCTGCAGCAGCGGCTGTTACTGCCGTCTTTTGGGTTGCGGAAAATTCTTGTCCTAAGTGCATCCATTTGACTGTACCTTTAATTTCTGCAGTAGTATACTTGCAAATAATCACTATTTGGGTATCTCTTGCCACAGGATGAGCAATGACTGGATTCGTAGATATAGCCACAGTTTCTGAAATAAACGCCATTTCAAAAAGGGCTCAACAAGTCAAACCTATACAAAAGTGTTAATAGTGACACGTCAGGAGTCGATAGAGCAAATTAGATCGAAAATTAATAATTAAATCTAATAACAATTTGTTTAACATTTGGGTCGCTAAAATAAATTTTATTTGTTATTGTTGGAAGTTTGGATTTATTGAAGTGCTTATTTATTAAGCATACTTTTTACTTTTTAGTGCAAAATCGGTGAGTAAACCGTTGTTGCTAAATTCCCTATCATAGTGCTAATTTCTAATTTCTGATTGCTGATAAGTAAAATTATATTCAAACGTACCTCCATCAGTGCCATCTGTTGTAGCTCCTTGAGTTACAAGGGTAGCAAACGCCAACATCCACAGCATATTTAAAGGTGCTTTAAACTTTCTTGAACTCGTCGACTTGAGATATTGTGGACGCAATTCGGAAGCTATTACAGAGTAAATTAATACCAGATTGTTAAATTAATAAGGACTGGAAATTTAATGAGTTGCTGAATAAAAATGTTAGTTTAGATTCAATATTTTGAACGATTCTATTTCACATTCATTTATTGCTGTACTCTGTTAAATTTGAAAAGTATGTAATAAAAAATACAGTAAAACCCGGATTTACTGCGCCACGATATACCACAAAACCCGGATGTTTACTGCAGTAAGTAATAGAGCAATTATTGATATCATGTTGATGCCGGTATAAGGTAGGAAAATACGTTATGCCAAACCACTCTTCAGGATCAAAAGTTAACGGGACACAGAAAGATGCACAGAAACTGAAACAAACGAATATTACAAGGCATAAAGTAAAATCAATCCACACTCGCTGGCACAGTTACTCCCTGCATTTCCAATTAAAGCTGTTTCTATGCTGCTATACAAAAGCAAACCGGCAATTATCCACGTAGTCACGGCAACAAACCTCTAAACGTCCAGAGTAAGATGTCTTTCAGGCCCATTCTACCATGGCAACAAAACAACAACATATGCGACTACGTACAATATTTATCAAATTTGTAGCCGATGCCAACGCTGAATAGGCCACGATCCCTCTTGAGGAGCCAGTGTAGATAACTGCATATAATCTATACTTGTACCTAGGGTAACACCTTCAGTCCCTCTTGACTACGAGGAGATCTAGACAACATATTATGAACAACGGTGTGCTAATGAGCTTGTGGACTAATTATACCTAATCACAATATTATAGTCCACAGTGTGACCCACTAAGTGACCCTAGTTGTAGTGAACGGTGAATTTTGACGTATTAATCCAGAACGTTTAGAACGTGAGAGGTGTGGACTATAATGTTATAATTAGGTCAAATTTCATCGATGCTCTAAAAAGAAAAGAAAGGTTTTAAAAAGGAATGAAAGGTTTTTTATACTCCTACAAACTGACGCTATTACAGTTCTTCAAAACAAAGGACTGTGTAAATTAACTAGCTTTTGTGTCATTTTGTCAGACACATCAATCCAACCCTATACAACACCTACTTCCAAAACCAAACAATTGGAATAAACTGAATCAAAAAGCCCATTTCAGCCGTCCAATTTAATACGAATTAGTTACAAGATCCAGTGAAGAAGTAATTACAAGGAAAGTGAATATAAAATTGATACTGAATAGACAATGTCCCTAAACCCTCAAGGAAACCCACACCCCCCCCACCCCCCACCCCCCCCCCCCCACTTAATGTAATACCACACTTCAACTAAAAGGGACGCACCTCCTAAAAGGACCGAACCCATTAACTACCTCCATGCAAAGATCCCCCGATAATGGACCAGCTATTCACGGTTAGAAATATAAATCACCAAACTCGCAGTCTAATTTTGACCACATAAGGAAGCTACATAACCTGATAGGTCAAACACATACCAAGAAAACTAGTTTAAATTAATACAGGAAGCTTAATGCCATTAGTTTACATTATATCAACATTGGTAGATATAAATTTTATTAATCATGAGCTCCAATCTATGCGACAATAAGATAGAATAATGTTATAATTTACAATCTATTTTATGGTATTAAACCGTAACTGTAAATAATCCCACGTTTAAATAAATTTGACATCCGTGTTAATTTTGAACAAAAATAATAAATACATAAAAACAACCCGGAAATTTTACTGGGCGCCACCCCAAAATAACCAAACAAAAACCCGGATGTTTACTGCGGGAAGTAAAGAGCAATTTATTGGGAAATCATGGTTGAGCCCCGGGTTAAAGGGGGAGGAAAAAAAACTTTTGCCCCCAAAAAACCCCCCTTTTCCAAAAGGGTCAAAAATTTTAACGGGAAAAACAAAAAAGATGCACAAAAAGAAAAAAAAGAAAATTTCAAGGCAAAAATTAAAAAAAAATCCCCCCACACCCCGCTGGCACAAAATTTTTTCTCCCCCCGGGATTTTCCAATTTTTAAAAAGCTGTTTTCTTTATCAGCTAAAACAAAAAACAAAAACCCCAAAATTATCCACTTTCCCCCCCCGGCCCCAACAAACCCCCCAAACCCGTCCCCCCAGAAGTAAGATTTTCCCCCCTTTCAGGCCCCCCCTTTCCCCCCATGGCAAAAAAAAAAACAAAAAAACCTTTTGCATACGTACAATTTTTTTAAAAATTTTTGTAAAGCCGAAACCAACGCGGAAATAGGCCCCCCCGAAACCCCTCCTGGGAGCCAGTGAATAACTGCATAAAAACCTATACTTGTACCTAGGGGAAAACCTTTTCCATCCCCCCCCTTGACTACGAAAAAATCTAGAAACCCAAAAATAAAAAACAACGGGGGGGTGCCTAATGAAAAGGCTTGTGGAAACCAATTATCCTAAATCACAAATAATAAAGTCCCACAGTGGTGACCCATAATTGGAAAACCCTAGTTTTTTTGGTAAAACGGTGCTTTTTGAGGTAAAGGTCCCCCGAAAAAAGTTTTTTCCCCAAAAAAAGTGGGGAAAAGGGGGGGGACTAAAAAAAGGAATAATTGGTCAAAATTTCACGATGCCCTAAAAAGAAAAAAAAAGGGGTTTTTTTTAAAAAAAGGAATGAAAAAAGGTTTTTTTTCCCTTTCCCTTTTCCTACACGACTGAAAACCTATTTACAGTTTTTTTAAAAAAAAAAAGGGACTTTTGGGGAACCGTAACCGCTTTTTGGGGGGGTCCCCCTTTTTGTCCAGAACCTCCCCCCCCAACCCTAACCCCCCCTAACAAACCCCACCAAAACCCAAACCAACAATTTGGGAAAAAAAAATGAAAAAAAAAAGCCCCCCCGGTTTTAGTAATTACCCTTTTCCATGGGGAAAAAAGTTTAAATTTAAGGGGAAAAAAAAAAGTTGGGATAAAAAATTTGAGTAAACCCGGAACAAAAAGTTTTTCCCCTTTTATTAATGCCCCTTTTAATGGTGAACACCCCCCCCCCCCCCCCCCCTTAATGGTATACACCTTCACTAAAAGGTGACTGCACCTTCACTAAAAGGTGACTGCACCTTCACTAAAAGGTGACTGCCCCTGATAGTGATAGCTAGTTCAGCGTTAGGATATAATAAAATTCAAAACTGCAGTCAATTTTGACCATAGACTCATAGACGATAGGCCATAGAAAACTTAATTATAAGGTAACAGAATTATGCATTATTTACATTATTCACATTGGTAGATATAAAGTATTTATTCTATGAGCTCATCTATCGACAATAAAGTAATGAATGTTATAATATTACAATCGTGACTTTAATGGTGATTAAACGTGACTGTAAGAACAGGCCGTGTATATTTGACCGGTGACGTTTGACAAATAAAATGTCATAAAACATTTTGTGGTCTTGAGGAATTCTACTGAATTCATTTTTGGTTTTTACTGATGATCTCATGATCTGCTAGCAATAATTATTATGCTTTACATTATATAAACTTATAAGTAACTTACCCATATGCCATAGCATCGGTATATCAATGAAATGGTTAATTTTACAGATAAATTTGTTTTACTGATAGATAATTCGGGTACCTCACCGTGCCACATACCATGATAACGATCACAGATAATATTATATTATTATTATTATTCAATTGCTCAATCTACCTCCTAACTCATCTTCTGAAGATTTCACAACTGTGCTTACGTTAGAAGTTAGGGCAAGTAAGTTATTACTGTAAATTATATTAAGATCTAATAATCGTTACTCCTATTTGCTATTTTAGGGGTCTGATATCATATAACAATATCATAGAATTAGAGGTCTGCTGACTGTTGAGCGGAATGAACTTGATTCCTTAATCGCGGCAATATAACCATGACCAGGAAATCCAACATTTCTGATAGAGTCATTTGTGTAAACGAGCATATTTAATATACAGTGTATCAGTATCAATTAAGTTAGATCTTAACAAATGAGACGCACTGCTCACAAGCAGTAAGCACTTAACGACTACTAATTAATCAGCAGCTACTTAATCAGCAGCTACTTAATCAGCAGCTACTTAATCAGCAGCTACTTAATCAGCAGCTACTTAATCAGCAGCTACTTAATCAGCAGCTACTTAATCAGCAGCTACTTAATCAGCAGCTACTTAATCAGCAGCTACTTAATCAGCAGCTACTTAATCAGCAGCTACTTAATCAGCAGCTACTTAATCAGCAGCTACTTAATCAGCAGCTACTTAATCAGCAGCTACTTAATCAGCAGCTACTTAATCAGCAGCTACTTAATCAGCAGCTACTTAATCAGCAGCTACTTAATCAGCAGCTACTTAATCAGCAGCTACTTAATCAGCAGCTACTTAATCAGCAGCTACTTAATCAGCAGCTACGGAGTGTTATAAAGTTGTTGTACTCTATAAGTGTATATTCACCTACAAGCATAACTGCTTGGCGTGATGAGGTACATCTTTGATTGGTCGAAGGTCTTTCAACAACACAGCATCATCACTTTCATAGTAGTCCCCGGCTTATGACGGGTTCATAGCGGTATTAAACATGTTTTTCTGGGCCCAAACATTCTACGCTCCTACTATGCTATTACTGGTCTCTTGACTAACTCCCAATCATCTGTCCATATGGTATTGTTTCTGGACAAATAGATGGTATACGATGCCCTCAGGCTGATCTCAGCGATCTTCATGCAGGCCTTCTTCTTCTCTTTGTTGTTTACGTTCAGGTGGTTCATAAAGGTTGGGAGGCTATAGTTGTAAATGCCTCGAGCTCCCACTTCTACTGTCTGGAGCTTGCAAGCCCATCCGTTGGCTTCTATATCTTCTGTCAGCTGCTGATATCTCTTCATCTTTCGCTTCTCTTGATCAGCAAAGTTCTGCTCATTTCCACAAGTCAGCTCCATTAGATAAACCTTCTTTGCTTTATCTGAATAGATCACTACATCAGGTCTTAGTGGTGTAGCTGCAATGTGCTGCGGGAAGTTCCTCTGTCTCTCATCCTCATCAAATATTATCTTCCAGTCG